CTCAGCTGCCCTGTTTGAATCTATAGTGGGCCTTCCAGGAAGGATAACATTGTCTGTGGAACCATTAAGATGCTTCACTTTAAATTTCCCTAAGGACCATTTCCTAAGAAGAGGGTTTTGTGTAATCCTGCATATACACTATGTACCAGAAGCAGTAATTCAAGGATAATATTGACCCTCTTTTGTTAACAATCTATTACTTTTTGAAATATTATTCATTTTTTCAGTGAAGTATTTTTCTGTTGCAGAAAATGGAAAGCATATTTCAGTCATTCCATTCCTCTCTGACCAATTGTTCATAATTTATCTTGCCTGTCTGGTTCCTTTCTCTGGTAAATTTGGATATTGATCATGCAGAAAGACTGTTCTGATAATTTTTAATTCTTCATGGAACTGAAACTTGAGACAAGAAAGGAGTTGAAGAGTTTCCTTGAAAACTGTAATGAGTCAGTGGACTTATTTACAATGCATATCACTCTGGAGCAGTGGGCATGGTTACTTCCTCTGGACTTCTCAAAGCAGTGTATAACCTTGTCAAAAAGTGAAAAAAATATGGGAAGGAAGGAGATAGAAAAGCAGGAAGAACGTTCCATGGAAGTCTGCATGGAAGAGGAGAAGCCAAGTAACTCCTTGAAAGAGCAAAAATCAAAGGTGATATTACGTGATTTACTGCATCAGCTGAAACTCTCTCCCCTCTTGACAAATGACTTGAAAGAGATATTTCAAGGAGAATTGACCCCATTGAGCATCAAAGAAGCATTTCTAGGTTTGTCCAATTTCAGTGAAGCTGTTCTCATTCATCTTTGTGATACCATCCAGAACTCCAAGAACTATTTCTCTTCTGATATCATCTGCAGCATTACAGAACAGCTCATTGTGCCCAAGGTATGGTTTGAGTGAAGAACATTTCACCAAAAAGATCTTCCTTTCCAACCTGTCTTTCACCTCCCTACAGTTTTTGAAAGAGGCTGGCAAGCTCCAACTTTATCTTTATGTACAGGGTAGCACACAAGCCATAGGCAGAACAAGTGAAACTAGTGCAAAACTAAATACATTTCTCAATTTCCCATTAAAAGTAATGTTGGAATGGTTTTTAACGTAGACAGGGTAGGATTGATTTGCTTTGAATTGGATAGGTTTTCAGCAAGTTTTGCATGGCCAGTGCCTTGGAGCAAGGTGCTTTATGGAGGAGCACCAAAATGTTTTCAAAATAAAGGAATGGAATGACAGTCCAAGTGAACCACATTGTGAAATAGACCTTCCACCTTGATCAGGCAAAATGCTTAAGGCACTTGTCATGTAGGATTTGCTGAAAGTCTATCCTACCCAAACCAATTTCATCATTGTCCTGTCTGCTCTTGGTGGAAATACTAAGTATTGATTTAATCCAGTGATTCACATGAGGAGTAAAAAAAGATATCCAGTTCTTTTACTATTTTTGTTTGTTTTGACTGTGGTTGGAGGAGCTAAGCCTTGTGCATCCCCATACTATTCCAGGTGGTATATGTTTTTATGCTTTCATTTTTCCCTCTGATTTTCTTTTCCACTAGATAGCATCCATTGAGTCAAGTATCTCTAAGGGCATTCTTACAAGGGTCCTTCATTTGAGCCAGACCTATGAAGAAGTCTTTCCAGGCTCATTTTCCAAAGCTGCCATGGAGTTCATGAGTTCATCTCCTGAGTCCTTGGTATTCACCTTGCAGAATCTCATGGAGGAGTCCTTCTCATCAAAGGACAATCAAAGACTTCTCAGGTTTAAGATTCTTCTTTTGAAATGGTTTTTTGATATTAAAGTATTGTTTTTACTGGTCTTTCTCTATGAAAGAACTGTCTGTTGAAGTATCTTATCATATACTTTATCTGGTGCTAAACTAGAACTAAATGTTTTGTCACAAGCATGTAGTTTGCCAACTTTTCTTTGAAATTTGTGATAACTATGCTGAGGGGGTTTGCAGTTGTCAATGCAACCCCTCTGGATCCAATCCCTCCACCACTCTGTTGTCACATTCCTTTAGGGATCTACAAGCATTTCAGCATCTAATTCTATGCTATTCATGATTTCTTACATGGAAGAGCCCATTGTTGGATTGGACTTGTCAACTTATTTGCCTTTATTTTTAAGTCTGCTCATTCCAATATCTAAATAGAATCGCAATTATATTGAATTCCAGGCAATATCTGACATGCAAATATTCCTATTTTGAAAAAGCCTTCTATGATGGTTGATCAGGAAGTAAGGTTACTAGTAGCCAACTGGCCACAGCAGGTATTGTAACCTTCTTAATCAACCCTTGTAAATAGGTGATATCTGAGTTATTTAATCTATAGGCACTGTGTGTGGTTCAATGATGAAAAGAATGATGAGAGTAATGCATTCTAATCAGTGGAAAGTGCATGGCCCCCCTATAGCTGTGTTTCCCACAAGTGTTGGAAAACCAGTCAACAAAGCTCAGTTGTGCTGAACTTTGCAAGGGGAAACATTTTCATGGAGGCTAAGTCAAGGACCAAGGGCAGTTATGAATCCAGGTTGTAAAAATGTTCACACTGCACCATGGGGAATTTTTTAAGGATTCAAAATGTATCACTGGTCAAAAACGATTGGCAACCACTGTTTTTCAGTGGTATAAGCTCTAAATCTCTCAAATGCCTATTTGCCATGGGCTTGGCTGAGCCCTTGACAAGTAGACTTTGGCCTAAAATAGGCCTATTGCTGCAAATCTTGTATTATGACCTGGAGTTTGACCTATGGAACACATTGGAATGAGAGAGACCTATGTGCAGAAGCTTAATCTTGAAGTTGAGTATTGGTCCCATTGCATATATATTTAACACACTTATATTGGGTTTAACCCCTCTTATGTCTGTGGTCTAGTTCTCCGCATCTGGATAAAAGTATGAGTGACATGGGATTTTCTTAATATTAACTGATAACAGGTGAAATATCCTCATATCCCTTATTCACATTCATGATGCTTTATTTTCAAGAAGTTTGTTTCCTATTTCTCTTTCTAGCCTGCTTCTCTGTGCAAGGCCCATCCAGCCAAATTTTCATCTACCAGTCCTGAAAACAGCTTTGGAACTTCCAGACACAACATTCAGTCCAACAATCTTGGAGGAAGTCTGCTCTTTTTATGCTGATACATCCCCTGATATGGCTAAGTCAGTTGAATTTGGAAAAATCCTCCTTATGACCATCAAAAAGTTTGGGCAGCATCTGAATGAATCCCAGAGAAACAACCTTCAAAGAGCAGCTGCCTCTCACCGGACTGCAATGCAGAAACTTCTTGAATCTTCCTTGCAGAGGATGTAATCATCATCATTATCAAAAATATTTGCAATTACTCAATGTTGTCGTAATTCCTTATCTTTGCTCCAACAGGCAGATCTACCTTTCCTGTTGCAAACTTGCCAAAATATTGTTGGTATAAAAGAGTGGATACTATATGCTGTTACTACTGCTTATATTTTCCTCAGCAGTTCAAATTGACTTATGGGAGGGTTGAGATGCTAACTCAGCCTGTTCCACATGAGAACATGCACCTAACCATAAACCACTTGACATCATGTTGGACCTTTCTGCTTGCAAACCGTTATGAAATTGTTTTCCGGCTTCATTCCCTGCATAATTTTCCCTCAATTTCAATTGAAGGATTGAAATGAAAACTCACCCAATTGGGGAAAAAGTTAGAGAAATTTGGCCTAAAGTACTAAGACTCCTTTTCCTTAGATTTAAAGATGGTAGTGGGGATGATGGAGGTGAAAAACTCCATAACCGTCAATAGGACGGTGCAAAACCTTACCCCCCCCAACTCAACCATAATATCATAACCAAGCCAAAAAATAACTAGTGGAACATCAGATATATTTCTGAATTTCTCATTTAAAGCATAACTGTATTGATACTTTATTGCGTGGGGGCATCAACTCGACAGCTGATTCTAATAATTTCCAATTCAAGCCTTCACTGAAGAGTAATATCACCGCATTTTCATGGAAGTTTCTTTTTTATACTTAATGCAAAGTTGCTTTAACGTTGATGCCTTCATGGAAGCGCGAAAGCGACGTTTCAAAATTCGACTGATTCTTAAAGTGACCCAACTCAGGCAACCTCTGCCAAATGGCATAAGGAACTGAATCTCTTCAGTGAGACCTAGAAACGCGCATTAAATTGACTTTGCTTGAGGTGCTTTAACTCCTTAATGCATGACGTAGCAGATATGCTACATGCCAAATAAACATTTTTATTGGATTGGTGCATAATTTCGTAGCGTTTTCTTTCTAATGGAAGTTTGTCCAAGAAAAACAGAATTTTCATAATCTTTTATATACTGTACATCATTTTAAAGCCCTAATCTTGCTCTCTCAGATCGTTTTTGAATTTTCTGATTTGAATAATGTTTTTTTGACAGAAAGCAACAAAAATCAGCGTGTTGAAAAACGATTGATGCTGTTGACGAGCTAAACGATGACGGGCGAGCAAAGAAACACTAGTGACAACACGCTGATTTTTGTTGCTTTCTGTCAAAATGTGGGGAACCCATGCGCCCAATTTTTTAAATTTTCCCATAGGCTGTAGATGTCGTACGATTGTTGAATGGTCGCAGCCCATCACATTGGACAATTCTCTAGTTGATTGACGCGGATCATCGTGGATCGAAGCGTTTAAACGGTCCTCGTCAAAGTCACATGTTCGTCCTGAGCGCGGGGCATCATTTATGTCAAAATTTCCCTCTCTAAAACGAGAAAACCATTTTGTTGCCGTGCTTTCGCCAATTGCGTCCTCCCCGTATACGCTACAAATGTTTCTAACCGCCTCCGCTGCACTGACTCCCCGATTAAACTCAAACAAAAGCACATGTCGGAAATGTTCCTTTTTTTTTCCACTTGACACTCCAGAATTTTTAACCTGTAACAAAAAAAAACATTATTCAAATCAGAAAATGCAAAAACGATCTGAGAGAGCAAGATTAGGGCTTTAAAATGATGTACAGTATATAAAAGATTATGAAAATTCTGTTTTTCTTGGACAAACTTCCATTAGAAAGAAAACGCTACGAAATTATGCACCAACCCAATAGAATGCGCGGGTAGCGATCTCCTAAGGTATATCTGTTGGTAGCAGATGTGCAACATTCTGGTCCTTATACCTAGCAACTATGCGGTCGCTAGGTGCCATACGCTCCTGGTGGCAAGCAAATTAAAACCAATCTGGCTTCGTCGTATGGCAGATTGACGCTTTTTATTTAATTTTCTTAAACTTTACGCTAATCCAGGGTCCAGGTTCATCCGTATTTTTACATTTTCTTTTGTGTTGAGGTATGTACGAATGTTGGACCGACAGAGCTCTCTGGCATCCATGCAGCGCGGATTAGAAAGTTGAAAATGCTGTTTGTAGCAAATGAGCAACAATAACAATTTTGGGCCTACTGCTTACAAATTTGATTTTTATATATTTTTTCCAATTGACCCGCGTTCTAGGACAGCGATTCCCAGACTCCTTTGAGTCACGACCCACTTGCTGACGTACAGAACATTTCGCGACCCACCGGAATCCAGAACGAGGTATTTTCAAAGCAATCATGACGTGAAGAAAACTGATAAGCCTTTTCTGTGGGGCATGGTTACCCTGAACCGATGCGGATGTTATGATTTTTTTTATACTGGGGAAATGTATACAACCCACCTTTGATGCCTCTCACGACCCACAGTTTGGGAACCGCTGTTCTAGGACGTGAGTGAAACCTACAGATTTTTTTCCGCCGAAAAAGACAAAATCACGCATTAAAGGGTTAACCCTTTCCCCTTGACGCCCGAGTACACTCGTTCACGGGAAATCATCCCGCTAGTGCGACTCCGGAATTACTTATTTTCAAACTTCACATTCTCAAGCCGGGCACACTTTCAATTATTTCTATATTTTATCCTTGAAAGTTGTATTTGCTTTACACCGGGAACGCTAACAAAAAAAAGGGAAAAAGCGTTGGGCGCTACCGTGTCATTTAAAACAGCGGTGAAAGGATTAGGGGAGGAGCATGCGCAATTAACACTAGCTGTCGTCGAGACCTGTCAAAACTACGAGATGCGAATGCCTCAACAGCATGTCGACTCAACTTATTTCTGTGCACTCGGAAATAAAGCGTTTCAGGAGGGGACTAGCTCCTATGGAAAACTGGCGCCGTTACGACACTACGCCGTTGCGACACTACGCCGTTGCTGAGAGCATACAAAGGCTTTGAGATAGTGAAAGCTACGAGAGGAGATGCTAGCATCTTGATTCCTTTTCTAATTGTATCTATGAATTTGTGATCTAGTGGCATTGCAAATTCACCTCGTGAGGAAATTTTAATTTTGGGACCCGTGTCAAGTACGAATCGCTTCTTGGAAAGGACATCGCATAGTAAAAAAAGTTATGTATACCTTCGCAGGCGATTCTTATTCCCCGAAATCTTGTTCCTTTGCTTTTGGGGACGTGACTCGATGAATCTTGTTCTAGTTTTTTATTTTATTTCCCCAGAAAGCTTTTGGACATCTACCTGTATTCTTTTTGAGATTATGCCATTTTCAGAGTTTCCTATGGCATTGTGTCTACTTCAAGAGTGAATTTTTGGATGCTATGAATGCAGAGAAACTGTTTTTCCCAGATCCTCAGATGAGATTCAATGGTGAGTCCCCCTACTCATGCTGTAGATATTTCCTTCATACCTCAAGAACCAAATCTGAACCAAAGTACAGGGCGATGCGTTACTGAAGTCTGGATTTCCTCTATCCTCCTGTGAAGACCTCAAGAACTGGGAGCCATTATTGAAAGACCAAGAAAAGAAGAGAAGCAGCTCGAGTGCCTCTCCAAAGAAGCCTCCAACCACTTTGCGAGAGAGTTTTGAAAGTGACGAGGATGGAAGGAGAGAAGGGAATGTGACAGAGGTGAATGGCAATCGAGTTGCCATCTTCCGACATGGCAAAAATCTCTTTGGGATCCAAGCCAACTGTCCCCATGCTGGTATATTTCCATTCTCTTTGTGAAGTCTTTCACTTTATTCTTTACGCCATGAGTGATGTCCCTGTAAAGGTGGTCCTCTGTACAAAGGAGATATAGAGGAACTGCCCGATGGATCCCTTTGCATCAGGTGCCCTTGGCACTCCTGGTGCTTCCAGCTGTCAACTGGGAAATGTATCTGGCCGAGTGGGCAGAACGACGTCACTGTGACAGTTTATCCAGTTCATAGACGGAAATCTGACCAAGCTGTTCTTGTTGGATTTGATTCTTTCCATAAAAAGTACTTCTCTGACCGCGATTTTTAAGTTAATCCCTTTGCTAGTCAACTCATTTCATTATGCAAATTCCAAGCTTTAGGACTACATTACAGGTGTCAATGTTTCCTGTAACTTGTTTATGCTTCACTATTGTGTCTGCTATCTTGCTCTGAATTCTCGTATATTAGAAGAATATATGGAATAAATTTCTCAATAGATTAAAGCATGCATTTTATTTATAAATACAATGAGGGAGAGGCATGAGGATCCACACATAAAATGCTCAGCGTGAGTGATAGGGTTTTGTATCATTCAAGCCCGGGTGGATGGATGAATGCATGCTCTTCTTGTAAACCTGAAGCTGACTAGAAAGGGCTCAGAAACAGGCCAGCTTATGGTGGAATAGAAGGCCTCAATGCAAACCTTCTGCAGATTTCCAGGAAGAGGGGCAAGCATGACTTCCACAGTTCACATATTCTTCTTGTCAGCGATCTGAGACACGGAGTTTACGCTGTTGCTCAGATCTTTATAAGATGAGGTCTTACGGAGACCTGAGTTGCTGGTGGTGTGAAGGAAATGAAGGTAAAGAATGCAGCCAGACGTGATGGCAGCCCGAACAAAGAGGGACACGAAATGGCCTTCTTCCATCCATCGACCCCCAGTCAACGTACCCCAGAGACTCAAAAGAAAAGTTATGCCATTGAAGAGCAGGATCCCCAAGGTTCCTGCCCTGGCTGCAGCTCGGTCAAACTCGAAAGTCTGCATCTGACTCCACAGGAGGGATCCAAAGCCTGAAAAAGAAGCAGAAGTCAATGAAGGAACCATCTAGGAATTGGGAAACACGATGGAAGCATTAGAAAAAAAAGAGGGAGGGGGACTTGCCGAGAAGGGCAGCTCCAGCTATGCGAAGTGCAAAAAGAGTTTCCGTATTAAAGGTGGCAAATGTGCCGTCAGGCGCGAGAGGTTGAACTTGTGACAGAAGACCGAACGATGCCGATTTTGAGGGTGCCAGGACCAGCAGTGCACCTTGGGCAAAGATCCCAGCCACGTTGCTCAAATGCCAGATGTGGAAACCACGAGGGAACCTCACGTACAAGTGCTCATTGTGTCCCAACAGCTGAGAGATCTGCGCGAAGAGAAACGATAATAGAATTTTAAGATCCGAACGATCTCAATCCTTTGAGATATCGATTTCACAGTTGAAGCAACAAATCAGACGTAACGAATTTAACTGTGACAATCTGGTCAAGAAATTTTAGCTGTGCTGAGCTCATGATACGGCGATGAAGAACGGCTCTTTACATTGTCAATATACCGCCATTCATTTTTTATATAAATAATTTCAATAATTGCATGACCTGAGCCAATCGAGGATATGAAGAGACAATATAGCCTGGTCTTCGGTTAAACAATGAAAGATGAACAAATTAGAATTGGATGAAGGTGAGAGTCGAAAAGCCTTGAGAAGGAGGATTGTGTTCAGCTGACATGAACCATTCTCGGTAACATGGCCGTATTCCACAGGATGTTCCTAAAGTAACTTTCTAATGACAATTTTTTTTTTACCGTTGAATCTGAAGTAACCATTTATTTTATGTCTACAAACTCGCTTTCAGTAGACCTCGGAAATGAAGCTTCTCCCACCTTTTTGGGACTGGAAATTATTATTTATTTGACCCTTGTTTGGTAAACCCTGAGTGCATTCCTTTGGAGTTTACAGTCAGGAGCACAATTTCTCGGAAATGCATTACGGGTCCTCCCTCTCAATCAAGAGGAATCATAAAGCTATCGCCGAATGGTAGAAAATCCGCTTGTTCCACAACTGAAGCATCGAGGAACATGTTATATTATAAATATGCGCGGGTACTGCTGGAGTACGCGCTGAAGCGCCATGTCGGCTTATCGAGACCCAGCTAAGGATCAGAGTCGCGCAAAAATAGGTCGAGGAAAGATGTGACACCATTTTGAAGTCCACAGATAGTCAGTCTCCTTTCGCAAAATAAATAGATAGAAATTCAATTTCTTTTCCCAAGTCACTTTATGAACCACCCTGCATGGGTGGTTCACACCCTTTCATCAGGCTTCTGCGTGATTCTCATCTTGTAGATAGAAAGATAAATATTCCAGAATCGTTATCCCTTCCAGTCAGAAGTCAATGGTGCATAACAGACTGGTCGTGATCAATAGATACGGTGGTACCTATCCCTTTCTTAAACCCCATCACGTTACAATAAATCCACCTCCTCTTATTCTTTTCTGAGAGCATCTGGAGGAACGAAATTGGGCATACTTCTTACACTCGGAACACTGAATCGCACCAGCAAATTTGAAGCTCCATCTCCCTGGGGTTGGGAGAACACAGAATCTGTTTCTTTTTTTTTGGTATTGTGAATTTCCTTCCAGTAAATTTCCCCCCCCCCCCCCCCCCCCCCCCCCCCGCCCCCCCTCCATTGACCCTTTCCCCCCCCCCCCCCCCCCCCCCCCCCCCCCTTCCTTCGGGTAGCTCCTCCTGGGGTCTTTTAGTAGGAGATAGTTCCACCAAAAGAAAGATAAGGACTTGTAGAGCCCACACATTTCCATGCATTCACTATCCAGAAAGTAAAAAAGTCTCTGCAACTTCAGGTTAACTTAAACTCGAGTTGTTGAGAGAAACCATGCGAATTGTGTTTTGGAAATTCTTGAGTCATAGCCCTGGAGGAGGATATTCTGTATCCACGAACACCCTGCAGATCCCCAACATATCTCAGCTCTTGGAAGCGTTTTATCATCTCTTCAAGATGATGCTACCGCTACTGATGGGCTTGTTGAGCTGAATCATCTCCTTGTGGGATAACATACTGTACGGTCGCGCCTTCGGCGCTCTATTACTTTGGATAGTCATTAATTCATTTTTTGCGAAATGGGAAACTCGTATTTAAAGTACTTATTTTAATTTAATTAATTTAAAGTAGCATTGAAATTCCTTGACATATGGGGTCGAAAGTCTTGATTTTTATCAAAATCATTACTTCTATGATTCTATGTGTGCCTAACTTGAAATCTTTTCTTGGTGGAGAATACATTTTGAAATACTTCCCTCCTATAATCTACGCTAAGAATACATATTTCAAAAGTAGGATTTTTCCTGTATTCAGGCATCAAACAGGTATTTCTGAGGGAATTTTACATTTTCTGTCTCTGTTTCGTTGGATAAAAAAAAATTCAGGAAAATGGGACTTTAAAAATAGTGTTCTGATGGGTTTTAACGAAATTTTTTTTTCTTTTGAAATGTAGACTCAGGGAACTCCATGCCACCCATTCTCAGCCTCATACGTTTCCCTTTTTTGCTGGCGGAAAAAATGTATTTGGAAAAGCGATACACCCAAAAGCTGTGCTCTGAGGAGACGCATAAAAAAAGTTGAATTTTTCCTTAAATCAACATCGCGTCCGTTATGCGTGCGCCAGCTACTTTTCTATTTCTGCCTGATTCGGTAGGATATGAAAAATTATTTGAAAACGTTACGTCCCCAAGAAATATGAACCCCCAAAAATATTTTGGAAATTTCACGTTTGACATTTGATCTCAGTGCGTCAACAGTCACGTTCTTGCCAAGTTTCACCTTTCCATGTGTCTCCGTTTGATTGAAGCAAAGAGAACTATTTGAAAATATGTTCCCCGAAAGGTGTGCCCCTATGGCATGCATCACCAAAGTAGGACTTTTGCTGAACTCAGCATACGAATAGCTACAGTACTTATGTCAGCCAGTCAGCTACTCACGATATTCTATATATAATAAAAGTAGTTTTTTTCTTTACACAGCTATCCCTCAGGTACTTCTTTGCCAAGTTTAAACTTTCATGCACCCTCTGTTTTGCTGGATCAGAAAATTCGTGAAAATACGCCTTTTGCAAAATATGTGCCCTGAGGTGTTTTAACCGAAAAGTACCATTTTTTTAAATACCGAAATTTCGAATTAAAAATTTAATGCGTAAAAATACATCACATGACACACAGATTTTTTCAAATGCATCGAATTTATGCATTGAAATTTCTGTTTGTGAATTCCCCCAAAACCTTGTTAATAGATGTCGCAATTTCCGGCCAGTCCATTTACCCGTCATTGCCGTTTCGTGGAGGAAAACTTAGTTGAACTGAGGCTTGAAAAGGAATAAAGTCATTCATGACCATTTATCATCAGCTTTTGTTCTACTGGGTCTCCATGAAGATACGTGGTTTGCTGAAGTCTGGTCAACAGAGACACATTTGAACTAGTCGCTGGTTTTGGGAAAAGGCAGTCTTCAAAGTAATCCTCAGGCAAGTCATCAAAGTATGTTCCATCGGCGCAGGTAGTATATCGAAGGTTTTCCAGGTAGTTCGGAATGTGCACAATCCACGCTATACCACACCCACACACGATTCGGTTCCCTGGAACGTATGGAAAACGGTGATTGTTATCATACAGACGGATGGAAAACAAAGGATGTGGCAGGTTGATTTGTATTCGGATCACCCCAGACATTCTCTCCAAATCGTTTTATTTGAATCAAGGGTGTGTGAGGGTGGGACTTTCCATTCGGAAATGAAGAAAGGTTTCATTGAAGCATTAGATCTGAAAAAAATATGGATCTGGATGCATACGGAAAGAAGATCTGTCCAATAGCGCATACATTAGTCCGTGTATGTGCGTATAGACTACTACCATAAAACGAGAGTGCTTGGAATACCTGGACGTTCCTCCTTCCTTCCAAGAGCTTATCTTATGGTTCTCGAGAAGTCTAAATGAAGATTTCCTTAGGAAATCCAACGTTCATCTTTAACTTGCTTAGATGTCAGCGTTACCGACCTCATCACATTCAAAGGTTAGGGCAACTACACATGGAAAAATACAAGAAAATATCTGTGAAGTAGAGGTAAGGACAACAGCAGACATGGTTATCTGAAATATGAACACAACGGACTGAATTTTTACTAGTGGCGTGCACATCTGTTGGGGTGATCGTCCCTCTATATTTATGCATTTCTCCTCCAGAGCCTGCGAATCTGAGCATTTTGAGAGCTATTTACACCAGCCATAATTTAGAGTTATCGACATGAGGTGACTATCACAACGAGAGAACACTAAATTGCAGGGATACAAAATTGTCCGCATTCACGTGAGACTCATCGAT